TTTTGGGTTATTTGGGATATGTGTAGGTACCGTAAGCGCGTTTCAGTTCCCGAAAAAAATTTAGGGAACCCAAAGACCGTCCGTAGGCACAGTAACGATCTAGTTTTCGGCGTCGAATTAAATAAGAACCCCTCACCCTATTTCTTATTATAGAATTAAAGTTCGAATAAATGGTAATATTGTATTTTGTGCAATTAATAGATACGCATAATTAATTAAGGTTGCTAATGGAGCCCGAACCATACCAATTTCTCTGTCGGTTCTTGCTTGATTTATTTTACAGTTTAAAGGCATTATGGTATCTGGTCTATCTGGTTTATGGTTTTAAATGCATGTATTACTGTCTTACTTGACTACTGTGTGATTTTAAAATTTAAGGTATAATTGTATTACCGGGTACATGTTCATTGTTTATGTGATTATGTTTAATTTAGGTAACGGAGATTAAAGGTAAATAGGAAAGAGATGGGATCTGATAAATGGATAAGGTGACAGCCTCACTAGATATCCTGAGAGATGGTGGACGGACCGGGTTCATAGGGAACCATACCGTGAACGTTGTCTCATACCGGACGGGATATGAAGACTTAGTTATTTAGTGCTCATACCGGACGGGGTATGGTAAGAAAAATGGTAAATTGTTTTATTTTAAATAAATGTATTGGTTTAAAATTTGTGCTCCATTGGTTGTTTTGGTTTTCTACCAACCTTTGCTTCTGTGACGGTGATATAGTGTGATGTTCTTACTGGACTAGTGTAGCTCATTTCTTATTTAACCATTTCAGATCAGGAGAACCTAGTTCCCAAGTCCGATCCACAAGCAGACGGCGAGTAGATGCTAGATGTTTATTAGTTTTCTTTATTTTTCTCATTTTTCGTATTTTCTTTAGAGAACTTATTCCATGATATTGTTTAGTACTTTTTAGTTATTGTGTAAGGGATGTTAACATTGATCTTTTATTTTACTTCCGCACTCATATTATTATATGTATTTCTTTTTGAATTTCCGGGACCGTTACAATTAATTTATCTCTCAATGTTTTCTTTCCAGATTTCCCTTAAGTAAATTAGTAAATCTCAAATTTAATCTCTTATTTAATATATTTAAATATATATTGTGTATATATTATATATGATTTAACATATTATCAGTTATATAATACATGTGACTTCTTAGTCATATGTTAATTAAGTTTTTTATTTATATTTATTAAAAAAAAAATTAATAATTATTATATAATTTTGGTCATTTCCAGTGTCTAACATATATTTTTACCGGACATAGTAATTTTTATTTTCAAAATAATATTATTTTTTATATTTATATTTATATTTAGTTTTATCAAACATATAACAATTTCTTTACTCAAAAATACTTTTATCGAACAATTAAGAAATTTTGAGTTAAATTGAACTGTATATTTCCTTATATAGTTGTTAGAAGACTCTATTATAAATATGCATACCATATATATCTCCTAATTAAATTAATTAATTTAAATAAATTTTACCCTTAAAAAGGAAGAAACTTTATTTAAAGTTCTCAAATTTTAAAATTTTAATTTTTGCATGGCAGGGCAACGTATAATTAAGAAGGGAAGAGAAAATAGAACACCCCATGGTACATATTATATGTATATATATACATATATATAGACTCAAATAAGAAAAAATAGAACACTCCAAAGGAAAGAAAAAAGATCGGTAGAGCTGCAACAACGTCCATTCAACTTAGAAAGCAAGATCGATAGAGCTGCAAAGAAAAAACAGATTTAATATTTAAGAATCTGCCTCAGCACCAAGAAGAAAAAAGTTTTACCCTTCAAAAAAATATATCTTCTTCTTTAAGTTTTATTTCCTACAGTTCTAAATCTTTAAAATTTTAAATAACTTTTGTATAACGAGACAAAATATAAGTTATTATCGGTTTATTGAGCCGCATGCATCACTCGTTTAGAAATTTGTGATTTCCATGGCCAATAAAACGAAAAAGAAAAAGAAAAAGTACTTCCATAATTGAGAAGGAAAGGAAAATGATCAAAAAAATATATCTTATTCTTTAAATTTTATTTCCTACAGTTCTAAAACTTTGAAATTTTAAATAACTTTTGTATAACGAGACAAAATATAAGTTATTATCGGTTTATTGAGCCGCATGCATCACTCGTTAGAATTTGTGATTTCCATGGCCAATAAAAAGAAAAAGAAAAAAAAAAGTACTTCCATAATTGAGAAGGAAAGGAAAATATTTTTTTACCTTCACTTCCATAATTGCTTCATTTGATTTTTTTTGGCAACTTAATCACTTCAATTTCTTTAACAATTTTCTTTTAAAGAAAATACTCAAATTCTTCATATAATTTTTTTTTTTATTTAAATATATTATGATTTCTTGGAATAAATATAAATTTGATTACTGCAATCTAATTGATATATTTATGAATTATATGTTCAAGCCCACTAAATTAGCATTATATATTAATTTACAGTGCGATTTATTTTTACATAAACTATATAATTTGTATTGATTTTTAAGTGCTGGGAATAAAACACAAGACATTTCTTATTAAAAGTATTTCATTAAATAAATATATCTACGTTCTTTGTACTCATTACAAGAGTATGCATAATATATCAACTAAATAAATAAAAGTAATCTGAATAATTTTTAACCTCAAAAAGGATAGATTTTTTTCTCTAAAGCTCTCAAATTTAGAATAATTCTTGTGTAGCAGGGCAAACTATAAGTCCCTTTCAGCTTTACAAATGCATGACACTCAGAAATTTTAGATTTCTACGTCCACAAAAAAGAAAAATAAAAAATGATGTCTATTATTAAAAAGCAATAATGGTCTTATATTTCTTATCTTCATACCAGATTTTCAGAAGAAATCTTCCGCGGTACATATAAAATGTATATAGACTCGGAGTATGCATACGCACTCATGCGTTCTTCCTATAAATATTAACTAAAGTTATAATATTAGCGACAAACTATTCAACATGATGCTTGAAAGCTGGTCACGGTGGATGGAGGAAGAGCACACGAAGATAATGATTAATATCTTTTTTGCAACAGCCGCCGTATTTGTTGGGTGTAAATGGTTGGTGAAGATAGCCATGAGAGGTAAGCCCCCATTGCCACCTGGTCCAAGAGGCTTGCCTTTAGTAGGAAATCTTCTTTTTGTTGAACCAGATCTTCATATTTATTTTTCCAAATTGTCTAAAAGATTTGGCCCAATCTTCAAAATCCAAATGGGTACAAAAATCTACATCGTTATAAACTCAGCTCCACTGGCCAGACAAATCCTTAAAGAAGATGATGCAATTTTTGCTAATCATGATCCCCCACTAGCCGCACTAGCTGAAACATACGGTGGTCGTAACTTAGTATGGAGACCATATGGTCCTGAATGGCGAAACTTACGCAAGGTTTTTGTTCGTGAAATGATGAGCAAGACATTCTTTGATGCTTCTAATGGCCTTCGTCGAAGAGAGGTGCGAGAGATGGTGAAGGAAATCTACGCAAAAGTAGGCTCACCCATAAAAGTTGGGGATCAAGTGTTCTTAACTTCTTTGAATGTAGTAATGAACATGTTATGGGGTGCCTCTTTGGATACAGATAAGAAAATTAGTGTAGGGTTGGAGTTCAGACAAGTTATAGATGGGATAGTTGATCTTTTGGGAACACCTAATATTTCTGATTTCTTTCCTATCCTTGCCCCTTTAGATTTACAAGGAATTGTATCAAAAATTTTGAAACTCAGATCATGGCTCGATAGGATTTTTGAATCAGTGATTGCAATAAAACAAACTACTAAGACAAATAATGAAGACAAGGACTTTTTGCAAATTTTATTGGAGCTTATGGAGCATGAAGATGAAAAGATGCCATTTTCCATGACTGATATCAAGGCTTTGTTATTGGTAAGTTAAAACTTAATTTATATAAAGATGTATAGATATTAACAGTTTTGCTTATATACACATGCAGGATATTATTATTGGAGGAACAGATACATCATCGACTACGGTAGAATGGGCAATGACAGAGTTATTAAGAAATCCAGATATAATGAAGAAAGTACGCAAAGAATTGGAAAGAACTGTTGGCAATCAAAAAATTGTAGAGGAGTTTCATATAAATGAGCTACATTATTTGCAATCAGTAGTAAAAGAAACAATGAGATTACATCCAGTTCTTCCTCTACTTGTCCCTCACAGTCCTAGTGTCTCGACAACTATAGCTGGCTATGCAATTCCTAGAGGCTCAAATGTTTTTATTAATATTTGGCTAATAATGAGAGATTGTAAGACTTGGAAAAATTCACTTGACTTTCAGCCTGAGAGATTCTTAGAACATCCAGAAATTGGTGATTTCAGAGGGAATAATTTCAATTATCTTCCTTTCGGATCAGGGAGGAGAATATGTCCAGGGATTAATTTAGGAGAGAAGATAATAATGTATGTGTTAGCCACTCTCTTACATTCTTTTGATTGGAAAGTGGAGGAAGATACGAATCTGGATTTATCTGAGAGATATGGTATCATAACAAAGAAAAAAGATCCTTTAGTGGCTATACCGAGTGCTAGATTATCTACTTTTGAGCAATATTGCTAAAATTAAATACTCAATTGAGTAGTTATTGTTAAATATGAGAGAATTCATTAAGTTATATTGAAAAAAAAAATTGTGATATGAATTTAGCACAAATAATGAATTATAAAGCATGTGTGAGGATTTTTAAACATACCTTTGATTGTAAATAGTATTTGAAATATTTGAAATAAAATATTACTATTCTTCTCATTTAAAATAAATATACTAAATATCTTTACAATTTTTGCTGACCAATTAAACTATTTTTATTAATTAAGTTATACAACATATATTTGATAATATTAGAAATAATCTTGGGAAGATGAACATTGAAAAAGATCTTCTCAAAGTTCAAAACTACAACAACATTCATTCAACTTAGAAAGCAATATTGGTAGAGCTGCAATTATAACTCTCTACCTTCAAACCGCAGCTTATACAGGTCTTAGAAAGTTATATATAGGCTAAGAATATGTGCGCCCACATATTTGCTATTTCTGCAAATATTAATCAAAATTAGAGATCACAATCTGAAATCATTCTATCCAAACTACCCTAATTCGGCCCGACGCAATATTTTAAATAAATTTATGATTTTATATGGAACAGATTCGAGTTGATAGAAAATTATGAGCAAGGCATGAATAAATTCAGGTTTAACACACTAAAATTTGTCTATACTGACTTCACAATATTTATATATATTTTTATTTTTTATTAACATTATTATATATGTGTGTGTGTATATGTATAATTGGACCCTAAAAAATAAGTTTATAAAAAATTAGAG